AGCAGAGCCCAGATGTGCAGAGAAGGGCCCAGATGTGCAGAACGAGCCCAGGTGAGACTCACCTGAGGACTTGTTGCGCATCAGCCGCACCTCGCGAGGCTGCACCCCCTGGGCCTGGAGCTGTGCACGGATCTGGGGGGACACAGGGGGGACACAGGGACAGAACCACGTCAGGAGGAACACAGGGGGGACTCCAAACACCCCAAAACTTGCCCAGGTCCCACCCAAGAGACCCCAGCGTGTCTCCAGGGGGTTCCCAAATGTTCCCAACACGAACTGTCAGTGCTGTGGGGGTGTGGCTTCCTGGGGTTGAGCTGAATTTGGGGCAGGGCCAAGGGGAAGGACGTGGCCAACCCTTCCCAGGGCCCTCCATGGACACTCAGGAGCTGCTGGTGGAGAGCCCTGGTGGGATTTGAAGGGACACTGTCCTCACAAGGGCGGGGCTCAGAGAACAGGCCCAGGCTGGGTTGGGGTGGGGCTCAGTGGGGAGGGGGCAGGGCCAGTGAGAACACAGGCAGGGCTCAGCAAAAAGGGGGGGAAACCACCTCATACCTAGGGCAGGGGTATTAAGGAAGGAATAGGGCCACTCTGAATGGGAGTGAGGCTCAGTGGGCTGACGTGGGACCACCCCTGGCAGGGGGTAGAGCCATCTCACATACAGGACAGAATCATCTACGGCAGAGGGCGGGACCACCCGCACATGGGGTGGGTCCATGCTGGGTGTGGGCGGGGCTGCTGTGGGGGCGGGGGCGGGCCATGGTGGGGGCTGGGGGCTCACGTCGTTCTCGGTGGCCGCCTGGGGCAGCATCCTGAGCATGACGATGGTGCTGGCACGCGGCTCCTCCTCGGGGCCCTCCCGGTAATCCTGGTCCCGGTAGTCGCTGTCGGCGCCGAAGGGCAGCGCGGGAGCCACAGGGGGGTCCCGGGGGGGGTCCCGCTTCCGGGGGGGCTCCGCAGCCTCGTAGGAGGCCTGTGGGAGAGGGAGGTGTTGGGGGGGTCCCAGCACCCACCGCAGGGTGACCCAACAGCCCCCTCAGGGTTTGACACTCACCTGCGGAGGGGTCCCAGGGGCAGGGGGCCCATCTGGGGGTCCCCCATAGCCCCGATAATCCATGTCACGATAGTCGTGGTCCCTCTGGGTGCGGGATCCATCCTCGGGAGCGGGCGGGGCCCCCCCATAACGCCCTGTCCGGTCCCCACGGCCACCCCTGTGGAGAGGAGAGGGGTCAGAGGGTACCGAGGTCCTCTCCAGCCTTGGGGGTCCCCAATGATCGTCCCCACATCTCCCCCCTAGGAACCCAAATGGCCTCTTGGTGGTGCTCAGTGAAATCACCCCCCGTTGGGGGTCACCAAATACCCCCCAGAGGTGGCCAAATGTCCCCATATGTGTCCCCTGTGGGGTCCCCAAATGTCCCCTCCCACCCGAAGTCCCCAAGGTCACTTTGCTCCCCAAAAAGTCTCCAAAATATCCTCCATGGAGAGTCCGCAAGTGTCCCCTGAGAGCTCCCCAAATGTTCCCCCCCAGGTCCTTGGTTTCGGGGTCCCCTGGGGCCCCCCTACCTGCGCTCGTACTCCATGGCACCGACACCTGTGGGGGCGGCAACTGGTCAGACTGGGAGGGACTGGGAACGGAAAGCTGGGACCACTGAGGGTGGTCACTGGAAGAGCCTGGATTTAATTGGAAAGGATCTGAATGAACCGGTGACGTACTGGGACGGACTGAGAAGAGACGGTTCTGTGACAAACTGGGAAGCGTCCAGGGGGTGACTGCGAGGGAAACGGGATGAATTGGGAGTAACTGAGACCCGCACAGCAGAAGAGGGGGGGAAGGAGCCCCCGTGATGACCCGCCCCATCATTAGCATACAACGCGCGCTCAGCCCTGGGTCCCACCCCCTCCCCATCAGCGCGGGGAGCCCCGGTCAGCCCCACCCCTCCCGGTAATCCCGGCCTTGCCGGTCAACCCCACCCCACCCGATAAGACACGCCCCTCCCGGTCAGCCCCGCCCCTCCCGGTAATCCCGGCCCTGCCGGTTATTCCTGCCCCTCCCCGGTCATGCCTGCCCTTCCCGGTAATCCCGCCCCTCCCGGTGCTCCCCGCCCCTCCCGTTCGGCCCCGCCCCACCGAGCCGCCCGGACCTGCCCGCGCGGCGCCGCCGCCGCCGCTCCCGAGCGCCAAAATGGCGGCGCCGCTCCCACCCGGCCCGCTCCGGCCCGCGCGCCCGCCCCCTCCGCCCTTCCATTGGTAGCGATGCCCGCCCATCTCCGCCTCCCGCTTCGCCATTGGTCGTCGCGCCGGAGGGCGGGATCCGCCCAGAAAGGGCAGGGCGGTGCGACAGTGGCGGGCTGTGATTGGCTCCTCGGCGCGGGGGGCGGGGCGCTGCGAGGGGGCGCCGTCCCGATTAGGTGACGCGGGCGGAAGGGGCGGGGCAGAGCGCGGGCGAAGATGGCGGCGCTGGCGCGGGCGCTGCGGGCGCTGCGAGCGCTGCCCGGCGGGGCCCGGGGCCGCGCCGCGGGGCCGAGCGGGGCCCTGGCGCTGCCGCGGCCGCTCGGCGCTGACCCGCACGAGGAGGAGCCAATGCTGGCGGCGCAGAAGAAGGTGGGCGGGGGCAAGCCAAGGGCAAACCGCGAATGATGGGGCTTTGGGGAATGGGGGCGTGGCCTCAGAAGGGGGAGTCCAGGGGGTGGGGCTTGGGAACAGGCGGGGTTTCCATGCCAGCGGTTGGGTGGGGAGGGGGCGTGGTTTCGTTAGTGGGCGGGGTTCAGAGGGCGGTGCTTTGTATGGGGCGGAACCAGGCGCTGGGGGCGGGGCTTTGAGGGGCTCATTGATGGACAAAGGTTGTGGGCGGAACTTGTGTTCGGGGCGGGGCCTGGTGTTGGGGGTGGGGCTTCGGAGCGGCGGGACCAGGGCTGGGTGGGGAGGGGGGACACACCTGGGGGTCCGTGGCAGGGAACTGGGGGGACACACACACACCTAGGGGGGGTTCCTGGGAGGGGCTCAAGGACAGGTCCCTCATCTATCCCCCCCATCCGCAGAACCCCGACTATCACGGGTTCTCAGCCGAGCCCGACGTTGACGTGCTGAACATGCACGCGGTGTTCTTTACCGGGGTTTCTGTCGCCATCGTTCTCGGCTCCGTGTTCCTGCACTACCTGCCCGACTACGGGTCCGTCAGGGGGCCCTGGGAAACCCTCCTGGGCTGAAGGGGGGAGGGGGGTGGCCGCAGGCGGGGGGAGGAGACTTATAGGGAGTAGGGGGGGCTTCCAGATCCACTATTGGGGTCTACAGGAGCCCATGGTGGGGTGTATGGGGCTCCTGGAGGGTCTGTTGGGGTCTGTGGGTGTAGGGGGCTCTTGGGGGGTCTTGGGCTGTCTATTGGGGTCTGCAGGGCGCAGAGGCATTCAATAGAAGCCTATAGGGGGATTTGGGGATCCCTGAGAGCCTCTCTGGAGCCCACGGCAGTCCTTTGTGAATCCCTTGGAGTTTTCAGGTCTGTTGGGCCCCTGGCAGCCCTTGGGGGGTCTATACGAGCCCATGGGGGACCCTGGGCCGTATGGGAAGCTATATGATACCCTGGGGACCTACGGGGTGTCATGGGAGGCTGGGGAGGATCTGTGGGCGGGAGGGTTTGGGGGGGCTACAGAGCCCTGTGGGAGGGTATGGGGGGCTATAAGGATCTATAGGGACACCTGGGCTCTGTGGGAGGGAGTTGGACACGGGGGGGGGGTGGATTTGGGATCCCCAGACACGTGGATCCCCGGGGGGTGGGGGGTCCCTGGCAGGGGCTGCCCCCCATGGCTGTCCCCTCCCCCCAGGCTGATGGAGTGGGCCCGGCGCGAGGCCGAGATCCAGGTGCGGGAGCGGGAGCGGCTGGGGCTGCCCCTGCTCACCTCCAACTACTACGACCCCGCGCGGCTCTCCCTGCCCCCTCCGGAGTGACCTGGACCACCCCGAGTCTCCGCGGTCCCCCCTGGGGGGCCGGGGGGTTCCCACTGTCGGTCTGTGAATAAAGCGCTGGGTTTCGTCATGTGTCGGTCTTTTATTTTTGGGGGACGGAAAAGGGGGAGGGGGGGGTCGCCAAGATGGGACTGTGTCACCGGGCCGCTCTCACGGTGCCGGTACGTCATCAGCGTGCGACATCACGTGTTCCTGATATGGCTCCTCCCGGGCCCCCGACCTCTCCCATGTGGCCCCTCCCACGGGCCCCTGTAGCCCCCCACGGGCCCCTAGAGCCGTTCACCCTACAGCCCCCTCCCGAGCTCCCCGTAACTCCCCAATGAGGCCCTACGCATCTCCGAGGTTCCCCACACACCCCCCCCCCCCCCCCCCCGGGCCCTGGAACCCCTCAGGTCCCCCATAGGACGCTCTGTGACCCCCCCCTACAGCTCCTCCACAGCCCCATGTTGCTCTGCAGACCCTCTCAGACCCCTGGACCGCTCTAGATGTTCCTGCATCAGGGAGGCCCCCTGACCCCGCCATAGTCCCCTGTAATTTGCTCTATTCTCTTTAAAAACTTTTGTAGGTTTTTTAATCTATGGTTCGCCATATATGCTCCGTAGGCCCCTATAGGCCCTGGTAAGCTTCCATTACACACCACAAACCCCCTTTAGGTTCCTAAGTCGCCCCTGTAGATCCCCCATGGGTCCCCCCACCCCCCTGTGCCTCCCATAGCCCCCCGTCCCGGCCGCGCTGCCCCCCGTGTCCCTCCTGGGCCGCCGTCGTGGCTGCGCACGCCGCGCTGTGTCACGAGGCCACGCCCCCTAAATCCGTATGCGAGAAGGGCGGGGCCTCCGCATCCGGGCCCTACGGCGGGAAGGGGCGTGGCCAGCGAGGGCGCGCCCGCCCAATCCGCGCGCCGGGCGAGGGCGGGGGGCGAGGGGGGCGGGCGGTGGCGGGAGGCGACGGCCAATGGGGACGCGGCACCAGTCGGCGGCAGCCAGTGGGGCGGTGCGGGGGGCGTGGCCGGGCGCGCGCAGGGAGGGGGCGTTGGGTGGCAGCGGCCGCGGCCGCCATCTTGTCGCGGAGGAGCCGAGCGGAGCGGGCGGGACCCGGCGGCGGGGCCTGGACAGCGACATTGGTGCGGCCCCCGCGGGGCACAGGGGGGGCTTCCGGGGGTACCCGAGGACGGGAGAGGCGCGGGGGGGCCTTCTCGGGGCGCGCGGGCCCGGCACCGGGCGGGGGGACCCCGGGCCGGGCCTGAGAGGAGGCGCTGAGGGGAGGACGGGGGGGTCTGTGAAGTGAAATCGCCCCCCCCCCCGGGATCCCTGGGACGGGGATCCCGACCCAGGACTGGGACCCGTCTCTCGGGGACCCCCGGGGCTGAGAAAGGCCCCCGGCGATGCGGAACTCCCGCAATGAAACCCCCGGAACTGGGACCCCCCGGTTAATGGGGAACGCCCCGAGTAATGGGGAACCCCTGCAATGGAACCTCCCCCAGTGATGGGGCCCCGGGACCCTCGTTTCTTGGAGCCCCCGGTGCCTGCGTCCGGGGGGTGCTGGCGGTGTGATCTGGTGTCCCCCCTTGTCCCTCAGTGCCACTGTCCCTGTTCCCCAGTGTCTTTCTCCATCCCTCAGTGTCACCCAGAGTCCCCCTTGCACCCGTGCATCCCTTGTTGTCACGCAGTGTCACCGTATCCATCCCTGGTGTCACTTGGTGTCACCTGCCGTCCCACCTGGTGTCCCCGCCCATGACTCCTTGTCACCCTGTCCATCCTTAGTGTCACTTAACGTCACCTTTGATCCCGTGGTGTCACCTGGTGCCACCTCCCATGACCCAGCATCACCTGGTGTCACCCAGCATCACCCTGTCCATCTCTAGTGTCACTTGGTGTCACCCTGTCCACCCTGTGGTGTCAACTGATGTTACTCTGCATCGCCCTCCCCATCCCTGATGCCACTTCCAGTGTCACCTGGTGCCACCCCACATCTTCTCCCAGCATCACTCCTTGTCCCTGCTGTCATCCTGTGTGCCCCCTGTCCCACTCATTGCCCCCCCATGTGTCACCCGCCCCTGACAGTGTCACCCAACGTCCCCACAAAAGTCACTTCTGGCCCCCAGAGTGTCCCTCCAAGTGTTCCCCTGTCCCTGGCTGCCTCCTGTCCCCAGATGTCCAGCTCCCTGCTATCCCTCCTGTCCTCATGTGACTCCTGTCCCCTTGCTTTCCCTGTGACCCCAGCTGACCCCTGGTTGTCCCTTGTCCCCAGATGTCCAGCTCCCTGATGTCCCTCTGCCCAGCTGACCCTGTTTGTCTCCTGTCCCCTGATGTCCACCTCCACAGTGTCCCTGTAACCCTGTCTCCAGTTGTCCCTGTGATCCCTGTTTGTCCCCATCCCCAGATGTCCAGCTCCCCAGTGTCCCTGTGACCCCAGCTGACCCTTTTTGTCCCCGTCCCCAGATGTCCAGCTCCCCAGTGTCCCTGTGACCCCAGCTGACCCTGTTTGTCCCCGTCCCCAGATGTCCAGCTCCCCAGTGTCCCTGTGACCCCAGCTGACCCTGTTTGTCCCCGTCCCCAGATGTCCAGCTCCCCAGTGTCCCTGTGACCCCAGCTGACCCTGTTTGTCCCCGTCCCCAGATGTCCAGCTCCCCGCTGTCGAAGAAGCGCCGCATCTCTGGGTCTGAGCCACCGACGGGCTCCAGCCGCGCCCCCGCCCCCGCCGTGTCCCCCAGCGTCATCCCCACCAACGTGAGTGTCGCCTGACGGGGCCGTGCAACCCCACAGAGGCCCTGGCACCTTCTGGGGGGCCCTGTCTGTCACCCCGTGGGGAGACTGGCACTTTTTCTGCTCTCATTGTCGCCTGTGAGGTGCTCGGAGCTGCTCCAGGTTACATGGTGTCTCCTGGACGTGGCCTGTGGTCACTTTATTTCACCTGAGTGCCCTTATGTGTCCTGGGGGTGACGTGTGTCCCTTATCAGGGGCAATGTCACCAAACAGGGGTGACACAACCTCTCGCCCCTGGTGTCACCCCTGGGGGGTCCTGCTCCTGATCCAGGGGCGACACAGCCCCGGTGTCCCCTGGGTGTCCCCCCGGTGATGCCTCTGTCCCTCCTGTCCCCAGGGAATGGCGAAGAACGGGGCCGAGGCCGAGATCGATGAGGGGCTCTACTCCCGCCAGCTGTGAGTGATGGGGGGCTTGAGGGGGCTTAGGGATCCCTGGAGGGGTTCAGGGGCTCCCACCTGCCTGGGTCCTTCCCAAGGGGTTTTGGCATCCCCATGGATTGGGGGGGCTTCCCGTAGGCTTGAACGGGGTCCTTGTGGACTTGGGAGGTGGTTCCTGTAGGTTTGGGGTTCCTTACAGACTTGGGGCTTAGTCCCCGTGGATTGAGGGAGAATTGCATGGGCTGGGGGGTCCCTACAGGTTTGGGGGGGCCCTGGACACTCGAGACCATCCCAGGTGCCTTCAGCTGTTCCTGTGGCGTCGAGGGGCCCTGTGAGGATCAGGGGGTCCTGTGAAGACTGGGGGGCCCCGTGAGGATTGAGGGGGCCCCATGAGGATTTGGGGGGCACTGTGGGGATTCAGGGGTGCCCGTGAGGATTGGGGTCCCCTGTCCCAGGTACGTGCTGGGCCACGAGGCCATGAAGCGCATGCAGACCTCCAACGTGCTGGTGTCGGGGCTGCGGGGGCTCGGCGTGGAGGTGGCCAAGAACCTGGTGCTGGGGGGCGTCAAGTCTGTCACCCTGCATGACCCCCACCCTGCGGCCTGGACAGACCTCGCCTCCCAGGTGAGTCCCCTGGGCAGGTAACAGCGCCTGGACAGGTAACACCTCCCAGTACAGGTAACAGTACCTGGGCAGGTAACACCCCCCAGTACAGGTAAGCCCCCCAAGTACAGGTAATACTCTTTGGACAGGTAACACCCCCTGGGCAGGTAACACCCCCTGGGCAGGTAACACCCCCCAGGGCAGGTAACACCCCCTGGGCAGGTAACTCCTCCACCTCATCCCCTGGCCCAACCCCCCTCCTAGCTGAGTTACATCTGGGGTAATTCATTTGGGAGAGAGAGTAAGTAGTTTCCATGCTTGTTTTGGGGTGGGGTCGGGTTCCTTTAGGCCTTAAGTGTTTCCAGGGATATAAGTACTTCCCTTGGGTTTTAGGTATTGCTTGGGGTCTTTGGGTATTTTCCGTGGGCTTTAGCTGCTCTCTGGGTACCTGAACACCCCCCAAGGAGAATAAATCCCCCACAATTGTTCCATTTGGGTTGTTAAACTCCCCCTGGATTTGGGGAGGGGGGGTCCCTGGGTGCTTGGGGAGGTTGGGGGGGTTGTGGGTTGCTGGGGCTCCCCTGATCCCCCTTTTTCTTCTTGAGTTCTGCCTGAAGGAGGAAAAGGTGGAGGTGTTTGAGGGTGCTGGGCCCCCCCTGATTCCCCTTTGCCCCCCCAGTTCTACCTGCGGGAGGAGGACGTGGGGCAGAGCCGGGCGGAGGCGACGCTGCCGCGCCTGGCGGAGCTCAACTCCTACGTGGCCGTGACCAGCACGCGGGAGCCGCTGTCCCAGGAGCTGCTGGCGCCCTTCCAGGTACCCCAGCCAGGTGTGCCCCCCCGCAGGGGGCAGGTGTAGCCCCCTCAGACAGGTGTGCCCCCCCCTCTCAGGGGCCAGGTGTACCCCCCCTGGGCCACCTGTACCCACCTGGGGGTGCCTGTACCCCCAAAGCCCCCTGATAACCGTGTCCAGGAGATGATCCCCCCCACCCCAGGTAGGTGCCCCAGGTGACACAGGTGACCCTTGTTCCCCCACAGGTGGTGGTCCTGACCAACTCCCCCCTGGAGGAGCAGCTCTGGGTTGGAGACTTCTGCCACAGCCACGGCATCAAACTGGTGGTGGCCGACACGCGCGGGCTCTTCGGGTGAGGGGGCCGGGGGGTTCTTGGGGACCGGGGCCTCTTTGGGTGAAGGGGGGCTGGGAGGGCTCTTCAGGGGATTCCTGAACACTGAGGTTCCTTTTTGGGGTCTCCCACTGACGCCCCCCTTGCAGGCAGCTGTTCTGTGACTTTGGGGATGACATGGTGGTGACAGACCCCAACGGGGAGCAGCCCCTCAGCGCCATGGTCTCCATGGTGACCAAGGTAGGGGGTCGCCTCAGCACCCCTTGTGTGTCCTCCCCCTTCCCAAGGGTACCCTGGGGGGTTCCTGAGTGTCAGGGTCCCCTCAGCACCCACTGTGTCCCCCCAGGGGTGCCCCGGGGAGGTGACGTGTCTGGACGAGGCACGTCACGGCTTCGAGACGGGCGACTTTGTCACCTTCACCGAGGTGGAGGGGATGGAGGAGCTGAACCGCTGCGGCCCCGTCGAGATCCGCGTCCTCGGTGAGCCCTGGGGCTTTGTGATGACAACCCTGGTTATCTGGGGCTGTTCTAGGGGGTGTCTGACACACCCGGTGCCCTTTTTGGGGGTCTCCTGGATGTCAAGGTGCCTTTTTGGGGTGCCCTGGAGCGGGGGTGCCCTGGTGACACCCCTCCCCCAGGGCCGTACACCTTCAGCATCGGGGACACCAGCGGGTTCGGGGACTACGTGCAGGGGGGCATCGTCACCCAGGTCAAGATGCCCAAGCACATCCACTTCGTGAGTGGCACTGGGAGCTCTGGGGGGCACTGGGAGGGCTCTGGAAGGCAGGGAGGGGCAGTGGGAGAGATGGGGAGGATTAACAGGAGTTTGGGGGAATCTGGGAGCACTGGAAGGGGGCAGGGTTGTATTGTGGGGCACTGGGGGAGATTGGGGAGCATTGAGACAGGTGGAAGGTTGTGGGGAGGGCAGTGGGACATAGTGGGGGAGTGACAAGAAGAGTTTATGAGGGAATTAGCTAGACGTGGGTTTATAGTGGGGGTCACTGGTGCTCACCTGTACTTGTCTCGCTGCCCAGGAGCGCCTGTGAGGAGGCGCTGGGGGGTCACTGGGTTGTACTGGGGGCACTGGCATGCTCAGCTATTGCTGTCCCAAAAGTGGCTGTGGGAGGCACTGGGGGGTCCCTGGGTTACACTGGGGGCAGTGACCCTCACCTGTCCTTGTCCCTGTCGCTGTCCCAGAAGCGGTTCCGGGATGCTCTGGCCGAGCCGGAGATGATGGTGATGGATTTCGGGAAGGCCGAGAGACCCTCGATGTTGCACCTGGGGTGGCAGGGGCTGCACCACTTCATGCGCCAGCACGGCCACCCCCCCCGGCCCCGCCACCAGGTGGGGACATGGGGGGACAGTGGGGTGGGGGGATGTGGAGGCTACCAGGCCCTACCCCAGCGTGGCCACTCCTGTGGCCCATCTCCAGCTGCTGGGAACACTGAGGGTGTCGGGGACACAGAGAGTACTATGATCTTGCCCGCATTTGAGGTCGTCAGAGGTATTGGCGGCTTGAAGGGACCCAGGGAACATGGAGTCATCAGGTCCTGCACCAACAGGGACCCCCACCATGGTCCTGCCACCGTTTGGGGACACTGGGGCCATTGGGGGTGTCAGGGACACTGTGGAGGTTTTTGGGGACACTGTGGGGACCATTGAGGCCATAGAGACCACCAGCCCCTTCACCCCCACCACCACTGCTGGTCGTGGCCCCTCGGGGGCGTCCCCAGCTCTGTGTGCCTCCCCCAACGCCATGTGTGTGCCCCCCAATGCCATGGGGGTGTGTGCGTGTCCCAGGGTGACGCGGCCGAGGTGGTGGCCCTGGCCCGGGAAGTGGCTGCGGGGGCGGAGCTGGACGAGGAGCTGGTGCGGGAATTGGCCTTCCAGGCCACCGGGGACCTGGCTCCTGTCAACGCCTTCATCGGGGGCCTGGCGGCTCAGGAGGTCATGAAGGTACCGCACTTGGGCCCCCGGGAACCCCCAGACCCCCGTGTCCCCCCGGGGTCCTTGTCCCGTCCCTGACGTGTCTCTCCGGAGTTCCTGCCTCGTCCCTGACGCGTCCCCGGGGTCCCTGCGCTGTCCCCGCACAGGCCGTGTCGGGGAAGTTCACGCCCATCACTCAGTGGCTTTACTTCGACGCGCTGGAGTGTTTGCCCGAGGAGGACCGCGACTTGCTGCTCACCGAGGAGCAGTGCCGGCCGGTGAGGGGCTGGGGGCACCTGGGCGGGCTGGGGCACCCCCGGGGGGGAACCCGTGGGGGTGTCTCCTCGGTGGGATGTTGGTTATTGAACGTTTGCTGGAGAAGACCCATTCGTCACCTTGTTGGGGACACCCATGAGCGGGTACCTCGATGGGGTTTGGGTGGCCCCTGAGCCCCCGGGGGTGGCCGTGCCTTGAGGACCCCCTCGCTGTACCCCCTTGGGGACATCCATGGGCATGTGTCACCCCTGGGCCCTGTGGTGGCTCTGTGGCCCCAGGGGTGTCCCCTGGAGGTGGCCCAGCCGGGTGACCCCGGTGTCACATCATCCACAGCGCAACAGCCGCTACGACGGGCAGATCGCCGTGTTCGGGGCGGAGCTGCAGGCCAAGCTGGGCGCCCAGAAGTACTTTGTGGTCAGTGTCCCCAACTGTCCCCAGAGTCCACGGCAATCTATTTTTTGTTTTGTCTCACGTCCTTCAGATATCACAAAATGTCCTCTCGTGACTCTGCCAAGTGCCGCCGCTCCCACCCGCGTTTCCCCAGCCCTCCTGGGTCATTTTGGGTCGTGTTCCCAGGTGTCCCCATGTGTCCTTGGCGGTGTCTTGACTGTCTTTGAGAATTCCTAAAGCGTTCCCTGGTGTTTTCACAGGTTTTACTCTGGTGCTCAGTGTTCCCAAAATGTTCCCATTTCCCTTTAAGTGTCTTCCAAGTGTCTCTGTATATCCCATGAGCATCCCCAAGTGTTCCCTCAGCCCCATTCTCTTTCTACCCACGTGTCCCCAACCCCCTGGCCCACCTCGGGTTCTGTCCCCACATGTCCCCCCATGTCCCTGGCAGGTGGGGGCGGGGGCCATTGGTTGTGAGCTGCTCAAGAACTTTGCAATGGTGGGGCTGGGCTGCGGCCCCGACGGCAGCGTCACCGTCACCGACATGGACACCATCGAGAAGTCCAACCTCAACCGCCAGTTCCTGTTTCGGCCCTGGGACGTCACGGTGAGGGGCCGGACAGGGAGTGGGTGGGGCCTCAAGGGTTGGGAACCTACATAGAGTTGGTTAGCCTTGACTTGGCCAACAGGCATTACCTGAAGGTCGGCGGTGATTGGAGGGGCCTAAGGAAGGAGGGATGGAGGACGAGTAGGTAGAGGCAGTGGTGGGACCTGGGTAACCACCACCAAGGTGCTACCGCTGAGTTACTCAATGTCAGCTCAGTGTTAGTCAGCGGTTGGGTGGAGTTTCCTGGATGTGTCATGGCACTGGCAGAGGCACGGGGAGGTGTGGCTCGGGAGGGTGTGTCCTGGAGGGGTGTGCCCTCACCGGCTCTGTGTCCCCCCACAGAAGCTGAAGTCGGAGCGGGCGGCGGCGGCGGCGCGGGAGATGAACCCGGCGCTGCGCGTGAGCAGCCGCACCGACCGCGTGGGGCCCGACACCGAGCGCGTCTTCGACGACGAGTTCTTCGAGGGGCTGGACGGCGTCGCCAACGCCCTGGACAACGTGGACGCCCGTGAGCGGGGCCTGGGGGGCTCGGGGAACATCCTTTGGGGGCTGCAGGGGGCTCTGGGGGTCCTCAGGGGGCTGGAGAGACCCTTGCAGGTGTATAAGGAACGGCCTTTTCTGGGGCTACCCCTGAGGCCTGGCAGCACTTGGGATGTCCTGTATCCAAGGGATGCCCCGTGGCTGTGGGGTGCCCCATAGCCCCCAGATGTGTCTCCAGCTGACCCCAGGTCCCGGCAGGGCTGTACATGGACCGGCGCTGTGTGTACTACCGGAAGCCGCTGCTGGAGTCGGGCACGTTGGGCACAAAGGGCAACGTGCAGGTGGTGATCCCGTTCCTGAGTGAGTCGTACAGCTCCAGCCAGGACCCCCCTGAGAAGGCCATTCCCATCTGCACCCTCAAGAACTTCCCCAACGCCATCGAGCACACGCTCCAGGTGTGTCCAGGTGTGCTTGGCACCTCGTGCCCCATGAAGGGTCCACAGGTGCCAGGGTCCTGTTTTAGGAGGGTCCTAGATATCTGGGTCCCCCGTGGGGGATTCCCAGATACCTGGATCCTGTTTGAGGGGTCCCAGGTACTGGGGTCCTATTTTGGGGAGTGCCGGGGTCCCTGTTTTGGGGGGTCCCAGGCACCAGGGTCCCCCCAGTGACAGCCCCCTCCCCTGCAGTGGGCACGTGACGAGTTCGAGGGGCTCTTCAAGCAACCGGCTGAGAACGTCAACCAGTACCTGATGTGAGTGTGGGGGAGAGGGGGCACCCCCAAAGCCCCCACGAATCCCCTCCATATGTCCTGCATCTCACATGCAGCACCCATATAGCCCCATGCCCATCCCCCACACCCCATGGCACCCCATTACCCCCATTTCTCCCGGGGAGTGGACACTAAACCTGGGCAGGACCCCTGTACCCCCCATAACCCCTCCATAGCTCACTTGTGATTCCCTGTACCCACCATAAACTCCTGTAACCCCCCTGTACCCCCTTTTCCCCCAGGGACTGCAAGTTCCTGGAATGAACACTGTGCTTTGGCGGCACCCCTGTAACCCCCTGTACCTCCCATAACCCTCCTGTACCCCAATTCCCCTGGGGACCCCAAGTTCCCAGAGCAGGCACTGCACCCGGGTGGGACCCCTGTAACCCCCTTGTGCCCCGCACGATCCCCGTTTCCCCAGGGACCCCAAGTTCCTGCAGCAGACGGTGCACTTGGCTGGGACCCCTGAACTCCCCATAGCCCCCTGTGTCCCTCTGTAACCCCCTTGTCCCTCCTTTTCCCAGGGACCCCAAGTTCCTGGAGCGGACGCTGCGCTTGGCGGGGACGCAGCCGCTGGAGGTGCTCGAGGCCGTCCAGCGCAGCCTCGTGAGCGACCGGCCCCGGGCCTGGCCCGACTGCGTGGCCTGGGCCTGTCGGCACTGGCACCGCCAGTACAAAAACAACATCCTCCAGCTGCTGCACAACTTCCCCCCGGAACAGGTGGGGGGCTTGGGGGGCACAGGGAGGGGCCCTGGGAGAGGGGAGGGCACCCATGGGGAGTATCATTAACGTCAGTTGGTTTGTTAACCCCTGATTGCCTCGTTCACTTCCTCCCCTGCAGAGAACGAACTCGGGGACCCTGTTCTGGTCGGGGCCCAAGCGCTGCCCCCACCCCCTTGACTTTGACCCCAACAACGTGAGTTGGGCCCCGTGTGGGGAGGGGGAGCTGTCACCTAGTGGGGGGGCATATCCTTCAGGTGCCATCAGTCCCCATCGGGGGCCATCGATCACCCCTGGGTGTCTTTGGCCATCATTGGGTTCCACTGTGTTTGGGTGCTCTCTGTCCATTTCCAACATCACCCCACGTCCCTTGGGGGTGGCCATTGCTGCTGGGAGGTCTTGGTCACTCTTGGGTGGAGGATGTCACCATTGGGTGATGGATGTCGCTCCTGGTGGCTGTTGCTCACCTTTGGGTGCTACCCCGTGGCACTCAGCTAATGCCTCTCGCTCTTGAACATGCCACCTTTGGGTGTCACCTGTCCCCCTTTAGTGTCATCCCATCCCTCTTGGGTGTCCCCGCGTCACCTTTGGGTGTCACCCGTCAGCCCTGGGTGCCGCCCACGCCCTGTGGGTGCCCCCTGACCCTGGTGCCCCTCCAGCCCCTGCACCTGGACTACGTGATGGCGGCGGCGAACCTGTTTGCGCAGAGCTACGGCATCGCGGGCTCGCGGGACCGGGCGGCCGTGGCCGAGCTGCTGCGCCACGTGCACGTCCCCCCCTTCGAGCCCAGGGCCGGCGTCCGCATCCACGTGTCCGACCAGGAGCTGCAGAGCGCCAACGCCACCCTGGGTGAGGGGCTGGGGGGCATGGAGGGGCTCAGGGGGGCTGCCAGTGCTGCCCTGGGTGAGGGGGGACATGGGGGGCTGCCAGTGCTGCCCTGGATGAGGTGGGACATGGGGGGCTGCCAATGCAG